ATCCGCTATCGAGCAGTTTACCCTGTGAAGATACAGGGGTCCTGAAATGCACCTCAAGGACGTGCGCTTTCCCCATTGCTCTATTCCTTGTACACCAACGACTGCACCCCTATCTGTCAAACGGCGGACGAGATCGCCCCTGTAGGTCTCCTCACAGGTTGGTATCATGGTGTCCTAACAACCACCTGGAGCATAAAACACTTACAACAGTGGAAATGGTGGCTGATTTCTGGAAACATTCCCCAGAAACTCTCCCCCTGGTAATTCCACGATCTGGCTTTGAGTGTGGAGGAGTCCTTTAAGGTTTGTAATACCCCAAAATTAGACACGAATATAGCCAATATCACAAAGAAAGCACAGCAGAGAGTGTACGTTTTGTGTCACCTGGAAAACTTTTGGTGTCTCTCAACCAATTCTGATACAGTTTTACAGAGTCATTATTGAGAGCATTCTGATAGCCACTATAACTTGGCGATCATTGAGGAGTTCAATTCTAGAGAAAAGATGAAGGCGGGAAAGATCGCTGATGACCCCTCCCACCCAGGTTACAACCTGTTTCGTAAACGTCCCTCAGGAAGACACTACAGGTACAGTATATTAAAACCAGAATCAGCCTGTATTTGAACAGCTGCTTTCCTAGGGCTGACTTTTTGCTTAACCAGAATTCCTAGTATATGTGCACTGTCTTAATGATGTCTATTGTCTTGTTGTGTACCTCTATGGTATGTGTAGAAAGTTTTTGCAGCACCAAGTATACCACAGTAAACTCCTTGTACATGAAATGTGTCTAAAGGTGAATAAAGGTGAGTCCAATTCTGCTTCTAATCTGAGTGATATGATTGCTGACTGCTACCTCCAATGTCTGTACAGCTTTATATTGGCTATAACTGTGGAAGGGTATTCTGGTAGCTGAAAAGTGCAGAGCCAGAAAGCACAACAAAGAATTGTAAGAACTGTAGCTTGGCATGAGCATAACTAGCTCAAGTATGATGTATAAGACTTTTTTATTTTAGTCAATCATCACCTCATTTTTATGAGATCCTGTACGTCATTGTTCTTGTGTGCAAATTTGTGGAGACAACTATTCGTACTTCACAGATGTAACATTCCTGTTCAATAGCTTTTTTAAATGAAGGGCATCAGTGAACTAAAAAACCTTGAGGCATTTAAGGCGTTTTCCTTAGGCTTCCGGGTTTCTTTAGGATTACCTTTGCCCTTTTGATTTTGGCCCAAACCCCAATTAAACCTTGTTTTCCGTTGGGTTTTTTCGGATTTTTATAACACATCAATGCGTTTCTTCAATAAATGACAGATTTGGATGCAGAAAGAAATATTTGAGTATTAAAGGTTGTTAACTTAAGAATAAGATAAATGTAAGATTTTTTAAGGATGCTATTGATCTGGAAAGGGTTAAAAGAAAAGCAACCTAAAACATTCCTGCACCGAGAGATACAGTGTGTCACATACGGACATTTGATTTGAGGGTTAAAATCCTCTAAGGAGCTGACAAACTTAATGAAGAGGACATGTGATAAACTCGCTGTGGAAGCAATGTGGTTTTTGACATACTGTACATGATCTCCTAAAAAATGATGGACAAATAACTGAGCACAGTAAGGGCATGGATGGGTTGAAGGTCAGACAGGGGCATCACACAACAGCAACTGTTGTGACTGGCTTGATACCCCCGAGCCTATAGTGTAATCAGACAGAGCTTTGCTAAGTATTTCATCTGACACCTCAGCTCTGCTACAGGTTTTGTTGGCTTTTAATGTAGAAAGAGAAGGAGGGGCTCACACTGCAGCTCGGAAGATGAGTGCATGTTTTCTTCACCTTGCCTGTGTCCAGCAAGGTGAGCTGCAGCATACTGAGCCGATTAAGAATTAATGAGAAAGACAGCAGAATGACATTTCTTCTGAGCTACCAGCCTGCTAAATGTCAGGATGACTTTGACAATGTTGGTGATTTTTCTTATTATAACACTTAAATGCACTGGTGACTGCTGTATGCACACATATGAACTTCGTCCTGCTTACACCTCAGTCACAGGTTTATGTTTAAAAAAAGAACAGCTGGTTATCAAAGCGCATCTCATACTATCCACCATCATCATGTTACAGTGTCAGAAGGCAAAACCAGAAACTCCCGGCTGTCTCCTCAGACCCAACCACAGTGACCACACTGCCTCTTAAACTACCCATTAAACACAAAGCAGATCCTCTGCACATATGGCTGTGATATAAATCCTGTTTTTATGACTGCCACATTCAATGTAAAATTTGTAACGTGAGAAATGAATGATTTTTCCACTAATGTGACTGCAAATTGTAAAAATGTCATCTGCTTAATTTATGTAGCTGTAAAGTACAACTGGCATGGGACCTATCACTTAATGTGAGACAAGCTGCAGATGTATTGATTTGACAAGTTATTAAATTCCAGCAGTGAAAAGCAGTACGTTCCCAGCTCTGACACTGACAGAAAGTTCAGAGTTTGCCTCATACTCCTTGCTACTGTGTCTACAAGCAACATCAGTTTCGCCCAGTCTGCTGAGAGAAAAACTACACCTGCAGTACATTATCAAATATGCTGACCCGTATGTTGTCATTAGAAAAAAAAATGCTTGTTAGAAGGATGCCTTTTCCTGCAGCTTTGCAAATGACATACAAATCCCCCTTACAATGAAAATGTCTTTCCAATGTTGATGCAAATTAAAATACATTTTTAAATGGTTCTACAACTGCTTTGACAGGCACTTAACTGCTTTTTGTACCGTACTTCGTTGGCTCTGATGTTGTCGTTCAGACTCTCACCGAATACTGGATATGACCAAGTGTGCAAGTATTTAGCAGCAGTGTGAATGAAGAGGTTAAAGAAAAACCTTTCAGAAACGGAGACTGCTGTTTAAGTTAATGTCACACTGGAGGCTAAATTACGGTGTGATGCCTTGTGTTTTGTTTTTCCTTTATTAACAGGTCCTAGAATAGAGAATGTTTTGACTAGAAATACAAAAACCCACAGAGCACCACACAATTCCACTCCAATCATACAAACGTGGACAATTGATTGTATTTTATTTGGCAATTAGCAAGCGTATTTTGATGAAGAGGAAGATATGTTCATGTTTAAAACTGAATCCCGAAGCTCCGGTGACTCACCGACAAATTCCAAGTAATGCATTTAAGATGTAAAGAACACATACAGATATATTTCATTTGACCTTGCTTGGCTTGAGAGTGGATGAGCTGTAGCCTCCCTGTGTCAGTAGACAAAGGACTGATGCATTTACAGTAGCCATGGGGTAAATGAAGGGGTGTTTGCACAGACAATGCCAGCATAGAAAGAGTCAAGGCCCATATCTATTCTCAGCCAGCTGGAGACTACTTTATTCCAAACATTCTTTAAAACTTAAAAACGCATAGAGATTCAGCGAGAAAGAAAAGTAGCGAGGGACAAAATTAATGAATTGAAGTTGAATATCATGGCGCCAAGCGTAGAAGAAAGCAGCAATGCTTGCCAAGGAAAACATAAGAAGAATCTGCACAATATATGACTTTAAAAAAATCAAAGGAAAAACAACCCCATTTTACAAACAATGGGCTCTCTGACTTCAAGAAAACTAGAGAGTCGACATTTCCTGTTCTTGCAGCTGCATTTCAGTGGCATGCTGGAATTCCTACAGTTTTTGCAGTGTCGTATATACTGTATACTCCTGTCACTTGTTAATGTTAACTGGTTTTCAGTTTTGTGCTAAAATGTGAAGTTTGATTTCAATGTGTCAATATATTGCTGCATTTTATGAATATGCAACAGTGCCTTATTGAGAAGATTGTTTGGTGAGGTCACTGAGGAACTTCAAGCAGTTCGGCAGTGCTCTACTATATTGCTTTTTGAAATATTACAGTGTAACTAGATGTCTTCATACACTGTATATGCATTTCTCCAGATGTGTATTATCAAAAATCTAGAGTGAACATACAGACAGTTCTGTAACATTTCGCCACTATGAGACTAACAATTGGGATAAATAGAAAAAAAATGGTGAATATGATTTTTTAAAAATAAGTTATATATATATAAAATTATGTCATGAATACAGAAAACTGCATACAGTACATGCAGTATCAAAGCGAGGCTGATAACGAATCAATCTGTTACAAGACACTATGTTAGAAACACAGGAAAGAAAGTGGAAATATATCCTGCATGATACACGAGTCCATTCCAGAGTTTACACACACACACAAAGACAATTTAACGACAACAAATAAACTAGCTAGCAAGTAAATTTGTGGATATCAGGAGGAAAGCCCACAGATGATGCCCAAGTCTAGAATCAAAGATAAAACCAAAGAATTATGCAAAGCCCTTGATAACTGGAAAAATCTATTTCAACCAAGAGGTAAAAGGCATCAGTCCAGAAGAAGGAGGCAGATGGGTATATATTTGTCAATTGAAACCATAAATTTGATTTATGTCCATTTGGGCCACTGATGAGAGTCTCAACAGAAGTCCATATGCTAAACTATACTTGACTAAATGATCAGGAGGAGAATGACTGCCTGAGCATTAGAGTTTAGCTTGGATTAAATGGATGTTAGTGGCATGTGGCTTAAACATCTGTTGTTGTGCCTTTTGACACAACTACTTGCTCTTTAAAGTGTCAGTTTATCCATTTAATATTTTTTAATATTTTGTCTGCTCCTGACACCCCTAAGTGGTCACAAACTGTGCAGGGATCTGCCAGTGTTCTTGATGTACAAATCATTTCATATAAACTATTTCACACTTAAAATGTGAGCAGCCATTGTTTTGTGAAGTTACAAGATAACTTGAGTCAGATGTGCGGACACTCTTGTGCTCTTAAGAAAGAACAGTAAACCTCAAATGTATTTGTCCAGTTTTATTCCCCTTCAATGTGTTATCCATTATGAATTGAAATAATCAATTGTTTTTTTTTTATTTTAGACAAAAGACTAAACAGCAGAGCACTGTCTCACCTTAAGAAGGTCAATTTCCTTAATGCAGTCTTGTCTTGCTTTTGCATCCATCATTTCGAAAATCTGTAAAGAAATGAACATTTTCTATTAGATCATATCTATTACAGAAAACACCGACATCAACGCATGTTGAAATGTCTAAAATATTTTCTTAACTTGGTTTACTACTAATTTAATTCCCCATTAAATATCATTTAGTATATTAATGTATTTCATTGCTACACTTACAGTTTACATGCTGGACAATAATATTTCTTTTAATCAATTTACCTCCATTTTTAAATATGGAAGCAAAGCACACTTCAAGGAATTAATAGGGATCCTAGTAGCCTTGAGAACTTGTGGGCACTTACAGTTTGTCTTTGGTGTTTTAGAAGGAAGAAGAAGTATTTTGTTTTTATTAGAATCACATTTATAAATACAGGAATCCCACTTCTTTCATTTTTAAAGAGAGAAAAATGCTTCCAATCCTCCTCCTATGAAAACCCATTAAACATCTAAAAGGTGCGTTAAAGAATTAAGACTTCATACCTGGACTTTCTTCAGAGCAACCTGTCTTCCATCCAAAAGATGTGTTGCCCTGTACACCTCACTGAACTGACCTCGGCCGATTTTCTTCTCGATTCGGAAATTGGCCAGGGTGCAGCAGAACTGGTAGGAAGACATGTTTCTCTGCGGAGAGACGAAAGGCTAAGTTAATCCTTCTTGCATGAATACAGCTGTCGTAACAGGAGAAAAATAATTTAACTTGGCTTTTTTTAAAATATGTGTTTAGTTTTTGCTCATTTTCATGCCATGACTTTCTCTTCGCTCATATTTGGCATTAATCGGTGTTATTTTCGAAACACTTAATTAGAAGTTGCCCTGGATAAAGGCATCTGCTAACCAAATGAATGATAATTACAGTACTGTATGTATAAAAAACACAGTCGCCATCCTGTAAACCCACCTACCTGTATGTAATTCAGTTCAACTGTTTATTATTAAGACCATGCTCACAGTGGGGTTTTTGTTTGCTTGTTGCTTTGTTTCAGCAACCACACCTGAAAGGAATTTCTTAATAAGACTCTTCCATTTATTGCAATGTGGGATTCATGCTTCAACATGGATGTGCCCTTTAAGGCTGAATAGCAAGCTCTCACGTTTCAATACAAATGTCTATGCAAGCAACATGCCGACTGCCAAATCAATATACAATACTGCATACTTTTTTCTTTTGCTGTTTGACTAAAAGCAAATCACTCGCAAAATAACATTATAGAGTACGATGTAGCAATGCTGAAGTCTCATATAAGCACTATACAGTATATTTAGATGTCTGCTACTTAGCTGGTACTGTATTTCAGTGAGGATAGCTTGAAAAGGATTAATAACCTACATGATTGATTTTGACCTTTGTGTGCATTACACTCTTCAGCTGAGTTCTGACATGATTTTGTGGCCGTTCTTTTGAACATAAGTCCGTATCAAAAGAAAGGTCACATAATGACAGTTTTGATCATTTTTACCTGCTCACATGCATTTTCCCTGAGAAAGAATCAAAGTTCAAAGGCTGGTACAGTGTACTTCAGGAGTACAAAAAAGTCTAACACACTCATCTTGATCATCCTTGAAAATCAATTTATCCAACGTGTTCCACATGGTCATTTTGAAAGAAGAATCAAAAGAAAATGCTACTTATAAGAGTCAGAAAACAGAAACATATCCCTGTTCTAAGTTCTTTACCATTGGAAACTCCCAAGAAACAGGGATCTTTGCTTAAGCCATAAATGTAATCAATGTTGTGATGTGGGATGAATGCAAATACAACCTAAACATCCAAAAATGTACACTCAAACATGGTTTGCATGTTTTTTTTTGTCATGCAAAATCATTTCTGCACATTTATCAATGAGGGATAGAGGAAAACCAGATGAAAATGGCCTACTTTTTGTGGCAAACACCTGGCAAATTAGCTGTTCCCATGGAAATCTCTTTGGTCAACTGGCAGCTTAATTTCATTTAGGCTGTGAGTCTGCAGTAAAAGCTACCTCACAATTTACCAGAGTCAAAAAACAAGTCACCCAGGGGCTTCACGTCTAGTGGCTACAAGCAAGCTGACCTTTAGCATGTCCTTCTGCTGTGGCCCTGACCTATGTGGACTCATGATGATCTCTGTATGAAATAATGTCAGCAGCAAATAGAACAGAATTATTTTGTGTTTACCATCAAACTCCTATGCTAATTAATGATACACCACGGTATTGTACTACTAGTAAACATCATTGAGTTTTTGCAAAGTAAACACGGTATTTTGTAATAAAGTGTACCACGGTTTATTTTCACATACGCAATGGCTACTATCTACCTTTTCTTTCTTATCTTATCCACTCATTCTGTCATATCCTCCCTCATGGTTCACTTAAAATATATATTTTAACACTTCTTTGCATTGAACCCAACGTTTAAAAAATCTAGACGCGCTGTTGTTGTTTTTTTATCACCTCCTTGGTTCGTCTGGACTGGACCTTGACAAGTCAGTATAAATACCCTGGCTCTTTACGTATGTTTCCTTCTTCATTTCAATAGCTCAATATAACACCCCAGATAAACTGTTACACACTGTGCAACAAGCAGGTACGGAAGGGAATTGACTGTTCCATTATTATTAAGCTGGTACAGGTGGTTTAAAGCCTTTATGTTCCTCTAAATGCCAACACAGGTCTGGAAACTCTCACCACCCTCCTGACTGCACATTAGTCAAGGCCAGTAATGTTAATTATTTTGATTAATTTGTAATGCTGGAGGGGGGGGCAGACAACCCAACCTGGGGACAGGAGCTCCGGATGGCCCTCTACAGGCAAGAAAGTGACACAGCCTCTTACCACCCAGCCATGTGGCAAGGTTGTCCTTCCTATTAGCTGCAGTACACACAGGCTACCAGCAGATGGCAGTCTCTTGGCAGCAGTGAGCCCCCAGGCGACCCACAGCACAGCCACACAGCACTACCTGCTCCACAAGCCCATGTGCAGGTTATACATTCATTTCTTACCCTCCCATTCATAATCCTGACAGGATCCTGAACATCAGGAGTCCTCCAGGTTTACCAGACATTACGTTTTTTGCTAAACAGTCCCAGACAAAAGTGCTGGCACTCCTCACATTGTGTTCCAGATTTATTCATCTTAATAAAAGCTGCAGCTTTCTTCATTATATCATATCAAAGTTTACTGAACACTGATTCATCGCAGAGAGAATACAAGGTCACATACATGTACGGATTCAATTTCTGCAGACTGATGGGAATAATAAGGCGATTACTAATTAAATATCTGAAGAATTACGTCTGATCAGATTCACAGCCTCTCTTTTCCGACTGATTTTGAGAGCCTAGGTTCAAGGAATTGAGCAGCCACTGCAGAATCACTGAATTGAACTGAGCCGAATTTCTACTGTACATCAGGATGGAGCTATAAAAAAAAGACATTTTTATTAGTGGACATAAGTGTCTGTAAAATTCCCTTAATCCCCCACTATTTAAGCTAGGCCCATGGAAGAAAATCTAACATTATGTCCAAATCTTGCAATTATTTCTCCAGTTGTGATATCTATTCTTGTAAAAAACTACTGCATACAACTAGAAAATGTTTCATAGCAAAGCTTTTCTGATAACAATATAAGTATCACTGCACACATGTATTATTCAGGACTATAAGGTTACACAGCTTAGAACAAAACATCATCTACCTAAAAGAACACGTAGTCTGAAACAATCCTTGGCATTTAAGGGGTACAGTTTTTTTGTTTTAGAAAGTGGGGCAGGAGTTTCAATCTGGACAAAGCCTTCCGTAAAGTGGGGAACAGAGATCGATCGATCCCCTTGGTACTCACTGACACCCAGTGAATACTCTATAACGGGCGGAAAGAACAACAGTTCAAATGTAAGTGCTGGAGACAATCTGCCCATCGCACAGTGCTAATGAGAGATGTCATGTCCCTGTGAATTTCACTTCAGGCCATCTTAATTTTGTTAAGCCATCTCTGGTAAAGTGCCTGAAATTGGCAGAGAGGATCGTCCTCAAGTAAGCTGACACTTGTAGTAATTAGCGCTAATATAAAGTATCTCTTGACAATGGCGAGTGATCAAGAGTATAATAGAACTCAATTGGGCTGTCCCTGCATTGGTGACAGCTCTTCATCAAGAGGCATGGCGTGGACAGAGGCGTACAACTAGGATCTAGAACTTCTGTTTCTGTCTGTCTTTTGTTGTGCTGAAGTGATCATTTACATTAGCCTTCAACACAGTCTGGCCCCGACTTCCTCCTACATATTCACTGGATGGATTCCCAAAACACTGCATATGGTCTTTCATACTAATGTGGTTTAACTATAAAAGCTAGCTGCAGTCTGCTATTTTTGCTTCTGGAAAGTTGCAATAATCAAGAAATATTCAGTTCAATCATTTATATAACTGAATATTTTCCAAGAGCAATCTGGGTGAAGTCTTTGACTCCATGCTGTGACAGAAGTGCTGCACCCGGGGTTTAAACCCCAGACTGACCCCTGAAGTCCAGGCCCAGTGGAATATCTTCCTCATTGTACTGCCAAGATCTCATAACAGGAACAGTACTGCATAAATTAATTGTTATTAATTGCAAAAAGATTTGACATCACGTAGCCCTTTGTCACCTGAGGAAAACAGGAAAACAAAAGCAAATACATTTGTGTTGTTCTCCTAAAACTGTTACACAAGGAAATTAAGAGAAAATGTAATTATGTTCTTTTAGCGATCACTAAGCTATAAACAGCTTTGAACAAAAAGCATTAATGATATGACAGAAGCAGTATTGGTGAAAATAAGGATTAGGAACAGAACAGAGGACACCTTCCATTTGCTAGAGGGCAGTTTTATGTCATAAAAATGTGGTAAAAATGGTAAAAAGCAAATGTGTGACAGTTTCAGCAGGTAGGTTGTCATTGGATATAGACACTGTATAACAGGGGTGTTCAATTCTGATCCTGAAGGGCCAGTGTCTGCACGTTTTCATCCCAATACAGCTCCGTATGACCTAAATAACTGCCTGTAAATAAAATTTTAACTGTATAGGCAAAGAAAATGACAAGTAAACGTGTTAATGTGCCATGGCATAAGAATAAGGATATTGCAGGCTGTAAACAAGAGATGATCATCTAGCTCGTTTGGTTGCTAGCAGCTAGCAAATGACCTGAGTCTCTGAGGATTCAAGCCATTTGTTGAAATACATTAGGTCTTCATCTTTAACAGCACGGCTGTATAGCTTGTTCCCGACACCCACAACCCTTTGCGTAAAGTGTCTCCTGGTCTCAGTTTTACAAGCTTTTTCCACAGAGGTTCCAGTTCTGTCTTAAGACTCATGTTGCAAGTGTGGATTTTAAAAGATGCTTATTAGGCGGAGAACGTCAATTCGTTTGAAGGCTCTGAATACTTTAAAACTGGCCCTCTACCAGTCTTTCTCTATTCAAGACTAAATTATATCCATTTCTTTTAACCTGTTAGAGCATGGTAATTCATTAATCCCAGGGAATGTACCCGATTGCTCCTCTAGAATGATCCCAGAGAAACAATATCTTTTTAGTAATGGTGTCACCAATATCCTGCACAGTTCTCTGAATGAGATTGTACTAGTGCATAGTATAATTTTGACATGACGTTT